CGCCAGACAGCGCCCCCTGGCCGCGCTCCTGCGCAGGGCCGCGCGCCTCCCTCAGCTGTGTTCGGGGGGTGCTCCTTAGGACCCCGCAGAGCAGGTTTCCTAAGGGCCCGGGTTAGCGCCACGCAGTCCTGCGAGTTCCGCGGTCTCGCTGCGTCCCGCGCCCCCGCTGCAGGAAGCTCTGAGAACGATGTAAACCGTGGCTCGGGGATCTCCGGATCTCGTTCAGCGTGGATGCCCGGAGGCAAAACTCGGAAATCTCAAATTCCAGTTCATATCTTCCTGGCGTTCTTGGAAAATGATCACAGCCCACTTTCATTTTTGTGGAGACCGGGAAAGTCTAATCGGGGAGTTTTGGGTAAAAAAAAAAATCACTGAACTAATTCAGTGTTGTTAAGCTCAGAGATCATCTTATTACCAACGCATATTCAAAACAAAGTAAACCAGCTACTTGGCGACCCGATTCACGTATCTTCACATGCAATTCACCGTTATAAAGTGCACAGTAAAGCGGCTTTTAAGTAGCCGGTTGTGCAAAGTCACAATTTCAGACCATCAATTTCAGGCCATTTTTGTCACACTAGCCAAGACATTCTGCAATCATTAGCAAGTCACGCATTGTCTCTCAAACCCTGCCCAGCCCTAGGCAATCTGTCTCTGTAGACTTACTTATTCTACAGATTTCAAATGGAATCATACTATGTAGTCATTAAGTCTGGCTGCTTTGACTTAGCATGGCTTCAAGGTTCCTCCATAGTGTAAAATACATTGGTAGTTCATTTCTTTTTATTGCCAAGTAATAGCTATTGCCAAGAAATAGTTATAGCTACTGTATGCTATATCACAGTTATTCTTTTTTCCAATAACTGATGGAGATTTAGGTCATTTCCATTTTTTGGCTCTTACAAATGATAGCACCGTGAGCATTCGTAAAAAAATGTCTGTGTGGACATATGTGTTAATTTCTCTTGTGGATAGATCTATTAGTAGAATCTTGTGCCTACTCTGCTTAACCGTTTGAGGGATTACAAGAAGCTGTGTTTCCAAAGTAGCTGTACTATTTTACACTCCTATCGATTCTTGATGTGGCTCTAATTTTTCCACCTGGTCACAAACACTTGTTATCATCTCTTTTTTTTTATTATAGCCTTTCTGCTGAATGTAAAGTATCACACTATGGTTTGATAGTGTTTTATGCTTTTTATTTATTTATTTTATTTTTTGGTACCGGGGATTGAACTTGGGTCCTTGCGCTTGCAAGGCAGGCCACCGAAACACTGAGCTAAATCCCCGGCCCTTTCTTGCCTTTTAAAGAAAGAAATATTTATATTTATAAATACTAACAAGCTAAGGAAAAATTATGAATTGTTTTTCCATTTTTTTCACTTTTTGCCCAGAGTTAGCTACATTGCAAGATTTTTTTTTCAGCTTTAATTGAGTTTATTGGTACATTTTAGGGATACAGTACAGTTACATTCATTGTTGGGATCTTGTACCTCTACATGACAAGTCTTGATTCTCATTTTTTCCCCTTACCTCTGCCCTCCCTTCACCCCCTCCTCCCCTCCCCATCTACAAACACTTTATTTTCATCTTTTCATTATCTCACATTTTTT